CATTCGCATTATTCTACAGTGTTCCGTGCTGTGTGATGGTGGGCGATGCTTTTCAGCTGCGTTAAGTGTCGTGGATAATTCGTGAGGAATACCGTTGAGGTCTCAGGCGGAAGTGAAGTAGCAAGTGGCGCTGCTTACCACGCGCGCGGGCCGGAGAGCAATTCCTGGATTGTACGTCGTCTGGGCCATCCAAGCAATCCATCCTTCCTTTCAATACTATTTGCTACCAAACTGTTTGGAAAAGAGAACAAGAATAGTGAATACATAGGCCATACCAGCGCTAGTCATTATATGGACCAGATCGCATTGAAAGCCTTGATTCTGGATGGAAGCAAAGTGCGTGGCGCATCTCATAAAGGGCTAATCAACGCCGAATGCTTTTTATGGTTTTGTCATTGGCCCCTTCCTAGTCATCGCGTCTTCTTATCCACGACAGTCGGGCATCTATAGGAAGGTTCACCTTTGAATCTTCTAAGAGAAGCGTGACAACTGATTCATGCCTTGGGTTGGATGAGAAATTTCTATGCGACGTGGACGTTGACAACATCAGATGTCGGACTGCGACCTTTATAGAAACTTGTGAAGAACAACCCGAACGACAACTCTTTCCACTGACCTCGGTCATCTGGGGCTTCTAGATGCGAATTTAGGCGGCAACCAAGGAGAAACGTTGGAGATCTCCTTCCACACCTTAGTATGAGACCCTTGCCACTGAGCGTCCGAGAGTCTAGAAAAAAATAAAAATCTGTTCAGATCTTTCTGTTCAACCTAACATAACGGAAGGAATTCAGCGCATTGCTCCAAACTAAAAGGACTACATAGTTGTGGGACAAGAAATAATAGTACATATTATTTAATGCAGTATTAGTAGAGCAGAGAATTAGATGGTGTTGAGAAGCAAACATGCGCAATTCCCCGTACATGCTCACTGCAAAATTTGCAGTCATTCTGGAGCTGCCGGGATTTCTCCCACGCATACGACGGCGACTACACGGGTAGCGGACATAGAGCTGTTGCGACGACTAGTTTGCTACGCATACGAGTTATGCGCTTCGTGTCTCGTTGTTTCTCTACTTAAACTCCCTTCTAAGCAACATTTGACCCGGCTATGATCATCTTGTTGGTTCTGCTCCCGCTAGTCGTCCTAGCACGAGAGAGCTCCAAACTCAGTCAGCTCCATGATGGCGACGCGATTGTTCGCACAACAACTGTTCATAGGTCAGTTTTTTCTTTCAGAAAATCAAAAGTCATGTAGAAAAATCGACTGAAAAATCCCACTTCACTTCGATTCACTATCTCCATAATTCCATGTTCCTTGAACATCTACTAAATGTTATTGACCCATTGAAAGTGTTAATTCAGCGTGGATAATGCCGTCGACGTGCTCCCGTCCTTCGCGTACCGACCACAACCCGACTTTAAGTTCAGGTAAGTCCTTTGCTGGTTTTTTGTGGAGGTTTCTTCTGCCGACAAACAAGAACAGGGCTTTTCGATTTTCCTTCTTTCTCTATTTGTGCGATTTTAGTCGAAAGTCACACTGGTGGTACAATAGGTTAGTTTGAGTGAGCTTGGCGTGCTGATCTTCAAAAGACGTAGAAGTGACTACTATTTCAATTCAAACGTAATAACT